GTCAAATGAAGTTTTAGTCTCGACGAATGTTGGTTGATTAGCCTTTAATGCATTCACATGAAAAAGCTATTTAAAAAAAAAAAAAAAAGCCACTCACTGTCCACACAAAAAATAAAAAAATAAAAGAAAGGAAAAAAAATAGAAAGAAAAAAATGAAAAATATAAAAGGGCAATGAGAACATGCCTTCATAGAGCAATGGCATCATTTGTTTCATCCCTTATTTATTTTTATATATTTCAATCCTATTTGTCTATTTATTTGAGGCTTTGAATTGTATGGGGTTTGTTTCTTGTTAATTTTTTGTAGTCCTGAATCCCTTGATGAATGGGTATAGACTAAAGAGGATGTGACTATTTGATTGATATTAGAAAACTAACAATATTGCTTAAATGTAAGTCATCTCTTAAATATTTTGAGTTAGTTGTATGACATGTTCATACAATGAAGATTGTAGAACTACACAATATCATTATGTCAAGGTTTAATTGGCTTTTCTCTTTGTTCTTAATTTGGATTTGTGCAAAGATCAATTCTTAGCCACCAAAATGTGGTTACAATAATTAATCAACTCAAATCCACAATGTTTTAAAATTTCTATCTTAATTACTACCAAGTGACTTTAGTTTTATTAACTTTCCTCTTTGTTCTTAATTTGGATTTGTGTGTAGGAAAATTCTAAGCCATCAAAATGTGGTTCAAAGAGAGGGTTCAGGCCTCACCCAACTATCTATGGACTTATTCGGCCCTTATTATGGACTAGTTATGATATATGTACGAGTTATTTATATAATATTATGAATTTTAATAAAATAAAAAAATTATTATTAGTCTAGCACTATGTGCTTAACGATCATAACCTACGTGAAACGTATTATGACATGCAAGTCCTTGGTTCTACACTCAGGCACTACTTCCCTACCTCCCACAATTCTCCTTAGTTCAAAAAAAAAAAAAAAATTATTATTAAATAACATGTAAAATCATGTAAAAAATATATACAAAAAGGTATTTCTCATGTCATTTTCCTTATTATTTTGATTATGGTTGATTAAATGCACAAGGCCTACATAGCTACCCCGCCTTAATTCTTGCCATACATTAGTGCTTAACACACACATCCAAATTTCCAATACTCTCTTCCTTCAGACTCGTGATGATAATGTTGGGTTTACTTTAATAAAAATATTAGAATTAAAAATTTATTGGAATCTGTTACTATTTAATTTCATAAACATTGATGTTCAAATTATTTTAATTTAACTAATACTAATATTTTTGCATTTAATTGAGTTAGATAGTGGACCATTAAAAGTAAAACCAAGAGAAAATAATCGTTTGTGAGTTCCATAAATCCCAACTTCATGAACATAAAATCTACTTGAAAGCTAATTTTGAGTTTGATTGATTTAGAGTACGCAAAAATTGATTCTAAACACCTTAGTCCAGATTTGATAAAATTGTATCTAAACACTTTAACGAATTTGCAGCTAAGAAAATCCACTTGGGTCATGAATCAAAATGAGTCAACTTGCAAATTGACCTGTTGATCCGTTGATTTGTTTTTACAATATTTATATATTTTTTTTATTAAAACCTTTCAAATTTATAATGCAAAAAGAAAAAACTCTTACTCTTTAAATCCAAATTTAGATAATATGCATAATAAAAAAAATTATTTTTGCTGGTTTACTGTCTAAATTCTTATATTTTACTGAGTTCGACAGTTTTTTAACTAGTTGTACGTGGTTGAGTTACAGACATCCCAGGTAGAGTTGAGCGAAGTTGCTTGGTTTTATTTGTTTTGAAGGATGAAGAGCGTATGATGGTTGTTTCTAAAATAGATTTGGATATTGATACAACAATACAGTGTTGTCAAATTTGCAATTAGTCAACTGATTAATCATGGTTGGGCGAAAAGCAATGAGGTACCACCTTTACTTTTCTTAAATCTACAAGATAATCATGCTATGATTTAAGAACTTTTATCAAAACGTTCCTCAGTTGACCCCAGTGAGCTTGTCTGCCAGAGTTACTGTTGGAATGGTGATAGGACATGCTATCACGTGTAGGAGCTTTGAAATTCACCCGACCTGTATGCCAGAAAAGTTATAGGGGAAGGGCCATGTCACTTAAATTAATCGACGTGTTCTGACCTCTCTTTTTCGGCATTTTAGTCCTTCAAGTTCTATGAAATGTGTAGTAAGCCTTAAAATTTTAATTTTGTGTAAGTTTTGATTTTTTTTTTCTATTTTTTGATTTTTTCACTTTTTTTTATATAAAAAATTTAAAAGAAAGCAAAATGCTCTATCCCGACTAGTTACATTTGGGCACTAGGTGATGGTTAATTGCGCACCAACTTCTACAAACTTACAACAATATAAAGTCTTTTCATAAAACTTTTCTGTAATAGATTTAGTTATTTCTATCCTACTCTTGTTCTTTCGTTTGTTGGATTGTTAAATTGTTGTTTAAGTAGTATGTATGTAGTTTGCAGAATTGCTGAATGACTGTAAGAGTAAATTTAAGAGGAACTTTTTATCTCTTTTGTAAAAAGAGTTAAATGGGTTGATTCACAAGTGAACTATATTTTTATTGAGCTATGTTAGAGTTAACTTTTTACTTACCTATAATTCATTTTGACCTAATTTGTTTGACCCGTAACTTGTACAAACTCAACCTACTTGGGCCGTTTGCCAGGTCTACCTTGAGCATTCAAGTTAAAAAAAATCTAGCTGAAAGTAAAACAAAAGGCAATGTGGTAGGTTAACTTCTGTGCTAAACTCAAAGGGAAATCATCCTTTACATTTTTTAATCCAAATTCAAATTTAAATCCTTGGTTCTTTCCGAGAACAAGAACATGTCTTCATCGAGCAACAAAATCGTTTCATTTTATCTCTTATTTTTTACAACATGATTGATAGCTTCCTCACTAATAATTGACCATTTCTCCTATAAAATAATAGTATATGGAATCCACACAACCAAAAACCAATCAGAAACAAAGACAGAGAACTGGAAAAATATCTATGTATCGGAATGATGTAAAGTAACAAATTAAGGGTATATATTAATATATATTATCGATCATATGGGCTCATGGAGCAACCATGCATCAATAATTCACTATTGATGGTGTTTATTTTTAGTATTATGAGAT